CCGCCTCTCCCTTCCCAGTGCCGGAACTAAAGGCGTGTGCAACCAAACCCAGCTTCCCTATTTTGTATTTTATTTTATATATGTATATATAAATTTTAGAAAATGTCATTTTAAAAATATTATTTTTATTTTATATGTATGCGTGTATTGCCTGCATGTGGGTAAGCGCACCCATGTCGTGCAATGCCCATGGAGGACAGAAGAGGCTGTCGGATCCCCTGGTACTGGAGTTAGGGACAGTTGTTAGCTGCCATGTGGGTGCTGGTATTTGAACCTGGGTCTTTTGCAAAAACAGCCAGTGTTCTTAACTGCTGAACCATCTTTCCAGCCCCTGTATCTTGTATTTTAAAGGTGATATTCTTTACAAGCATTTATTAAATTATAGCCACAGGCAAGCTGTGTAAACAGAGAAGAATATGATCTGGAACTGAGCCCTAAAGCTCCTATAGATCCTCAAGACTTGCAGCACAAGCAGTTTCACAACACAATCCCAAATGTAGATAAAATCATTAGGCTTTACTGCTTGTCTTCCTACTATATAGTAATGAGGACAAAAATGAGTCTAGCTGGGCATGGTGGCCCATTACATGCCTATAATCCCAGTACTGGGGAGGTGGAGGCGGGAGGATCAGGAGTTCGTCATTGGCTGCAGAGGGAGTTTGAGGCCAACCTGGGATACATGAGGCCCTGTCATAAAAGACACAGTTTGTTCTTATGCTATACCCTTAGCATCGACCATAGTGTCTGGCTTATAATCCTTGTGCTTCAGCCTCCCAAGTCAGCACACCTGGCTTCTGACAACATTTTGATGACTCACCAACACATAGATATTCTTACTATTCACCAAGAAATGCAGTTCAATATTATATTTGGTTTATTTTGGGACACCTAGCTTCTTAACTGACAATGAATACACAAACTTCATAAAATTACTCATTTTTTAAATAAAAATTTTCTTAAATTTTGCTTATGTGAAGAAAAACAACATACTAAGCAACTTTCATAGCAAAGTCTCAGACTTATATGGAATTGAGGACTTTTAAAGAAAATCTACACAGTAACCTGTGTTAGAAGCGATAGCAAAGCTGGCATGCTCAAAGATGCCCAAGGAGGACTAAACATTACGCTCTAACTACCACTTTCCCTAAAGCCTCGCTAAGGGTTCCAAGCGGTGCAACAGGACACAGCTATTCCCAGGGTGTCCTAGGAATTAGATTTACTTCTTTGACTTTTTCTTCTCTGCTTCCTCCTTTTCCTTTTCTATTTCGGTTACTTGTAATTCAATTTCTTTGGCACTAAACATCTGAAAAGAAGAAATATTTTTAAAATTAATTTTCATTTGTACCAATACCTGAATTATTTCTGCTCTAACTTGAATAACTTCAGATGTACAATGAAATGCTTCAAAGGATGGGAAACGGTGGGTACTCATCAGGTCAGAAGCAGGTCTCTGACATTTCTGATGTCATCACAGGACAGAACATGCCCTGCCTTACACATTCTACACATTTAGTTTGTATTTTCTATGAACTTGAAAGGTAATTTTGATTTTCTATTATACGGCTCAAAACTAGATCCAAGGTTGCATGATTGCTGTATAAAAGTATTTGAAGTTGAGAAATTTATATAGGGAGATCTACATTAATTGTGAAGCAATATCCAGGAAACTGATAATAAATTTTATTAGAAGACCAATTTTTAAATCTGGTAAAGAATGAAGAAACTTAGCAATTAGTCCACCAGATTTTATATAGAAAGGTGTTGAGATTCATAAAATTAATGAATTTGGCCAAAAATTGAAGGATTAAAAATTAGTTCTCTAGGGCTGTTGAAATGACTCAGTGGTTAAGAGCTCTTGCAAACGTCAAGAGTTTGGTTCCCAGCACCATGACAAGTGGTTCGCAACCACCTGTAACTCCAGCTCCAAGGGATCCAGTGCTATTTTCTGGTCTCTGGGCACCTGCATGCATGTGCTCATACATATACATAGACATAAATAAAAATAAAATCTTTAAAAAAAAAATAGCTGAGGCCGGACGTGGTGGCGCACACCTTTGGTCCCAGCACTTGGGAGGCAGAGGCAGGTGGATCTTTGTGAGGTCAAAGCCAGCCTGGTCTTCATAATGAGTTCAGGTCAGCTGGGACTACAGGGGTACCCTGCCTCAAAAAGACAAAAAAAAAAAAAAAAAAAAAAAAAAAAAGAAAAGAAAAAAGCTAATTTCTGTTTGAACTCCAAAATTATTTTCATTTCACTAATACCTGTCAGAAAATCTATTTTGTCAGCCAGGCATGGTGGCACACACCTTTAATCCCAGCACTGGAGAGGCAGAGGCAGGCGGATCTCTGTGAGTTCAAAGCCAGCGTGGTCTACATAGTGAGTTCCAGGCTAGCTGGGGCTACAGGGAGACCCTGTCACAAAAAGACCCCCCCGAAAAAGAAAATATATTTTGTCAATAGCAATGTAAAAGATATTATCTGAATATATTATGAAGTGCGTTTGCACATTATCCATTCTCTGGGAGCTCTGAAAATGAAGTGTGAGAATACAGTTCTTGCCTGACATTAAATAATTCAGTTTCATGCAAAAAAAAAAAACCTCAGACACAAATGGATCATTATATTTCAATAAAAATTTGAATAAAGTGGGATGATATTACTTAAAAGTCAAAGAAGGTCTTTTAAAATTAGGTCCAGTGCATAAGCATTTCCAAATTAAAGAGAGATCCAGCTAACTTTCCCCATGTGTTACATGTACATAATTATAAAGAATCAAATAACACTGAGAAAGTGAAGACAAACCAATGTTTCCCTGCTCCTCGGCATCCCACCTTTGCTAAGACCCTCATCCCACCTCACAGCATCCACATCCAGGAGCGTGCTGCTCCTTCTGATATTTACCTTCCTGTCCCTAAACATTATGCTTTCACTGCTAATTTCTTCTCTCTCCTCTGAGATATTACCTTTTGACTTCCTAGTACCTGCATGGTGTGTAAAAAAAGATCATATTTATGTATATTTGTGTCTATATGTGAATATTTGCAGATCTATACAGGTGCCCAACATGGTCAAGAGAGGGTGTCAGATCCCCTGGAGCTAGAATTACTGTCAGGCAGTTGTGAACCAACTAATGTGGGTACTAGGAACAGAACTCTGGTCTTCTGCAAGAGCAGCAAGCACTCTTAACCACTGAGCTATCTCTCCAGACACTCTCTATTATTTCTTTAATAATTTTATTCTTTCTACATTGTAGGCTTTTCTTGTTTGTTTTGTTTATCATACAGGGTTTCCCTGTAGCCACTGCTGGCAGAGACCAGGCTGGCCTCGCTCTCACTCACAGAGATCCACCTGCCTGTGTCTCCAGAGTACAGGGATGAAGGGTGTGCACTATCACACCTGTTTTGTTGTTGTTATTTTTTCTTTTGAGACAGGGTCTCACTTTGTGGCTCTGGCTGACATGAAACTCACTATGCAGACCAGGCTGGCCTGGAGCTCACAAAGATCGCACCTGCCTTTGCTTCCCAAGTGCTGGGATTAAAAAAGTGTGCACACCTATGCCTGAGTGTAATTCATCTTTTCTATGGTTAGTCATCTCTAGATCTTTCAGAGATTTCCTTGGTTTATTTTAAATTTTTTTCTTAAATTTTATCAAGTGGGGGTGAGTAGGAGAGGGGAGAGGGAGGGAGAGAGAAGGAGAGGATGTAGAGAGTGTGCATGTGTGCATGCTCTGTGTATGCCACAGCACATGTGTGAAGAACCTCAGAGGATGACCCCAGGAGGCAGCTCTCCCCTCTCACCATGTGAGTCCCAGGAATGCAACTCAGGTTATCAGGTTAGTGGCAAATGTTTCCACCTGCTAAGCCATCTCTCTTAACCTTTAAATTTATTTATTTGTTTATTTATTTATTTTTATTTATTCATTTTGAGACAGGGTCTCCCTGTAGCCCCTGCTGGCCTGGAACTCACTATGTAGACCAGGCTGGCCTTGAATTCACAGAGATCCGCCTGCCTCTGTCTCCAGAGCACTGGGATTAAAGGTGTGCACCACCACGCCCAGCTCTCTCGGTGGTTCTTAACTACCGTTTTGTTGTTTTTAGATTTCTTCTGAATCCTTTAATGTGTTGTTAATTTCTGTTAAAGTATTTTGAGGCAAGGTTTCACTCTAGCTCTGGCTGGTCTGGAATTCACTATGTAGACCACGTTAGGCTCAAACTTGTGGATTATTCTCTTGCCTCAGCCTCTCAAATACTGAGATTATTGGCAGAAACTAGCATATCCAGGCTAAATTCCTTTAAATCTCTATTTTAGTTGAATTTTCCTGTCTGGATACATTTAGCTAACCTTTCATGCTTCTGCTTCAGAGGAAGACCCTGAAGAGTGAAATGGAAGCTCTGGAAGAACAGGGCAGTCGGCTGCCCAGTCACTGCATGGTTAACAGGTGGCAGGGAGGATACGCTCTTTTTTGCTAAATTTTTTTCTTTTTCTTTTTTTAATGTTTTATTTATTATTTTTATTTTATGTGTACAAATGTTATGTGTGTAAGTGCACCCATGTCTTGCAATGCCCAAGGAGGACAGAAGAGGCTGTCGGATCCCCTGGAACTGGTTATGGACAGTTAGCTGCTATGTGGGTGCTGGGATTCAAACCCAGGTCTTCTGCAAGAACAGTCAGTGTTCTTAACCAATGAGCCATCTCTCCAACCCTATTTATTTTTATTTATGTGTATGATGAATGTGGGTGTGGGAAGTCCTCTGCAAGAACTGAGTCATCACTCTTAACCACTCTTAACTGAGCCACCTCTCCAGTCCCAGGACATGCTTTTATGTGGGGAAAATTCAAGTACTTTAGGCTTTAAAAAGAGCTGATGTAGCCAGGCGTGGTGGCACTCACCTTTAATCCCAGCACTCAGGAGGCAGAGGCAGGTGGATCTCTGTGAGTTCAAGGCCAGCCTGGTCTACAAAGTGAGTTCCAGGCCAGCTGAGGCTACTGGGAGACCCTGTCTCAAAAAGACAAAAAAAAAAAAAAATCTATCAATCTCTGGTCCCTCATAAGGGAGTCAAAAGGATAATGAGACTGGCTCCATGGCTGGTGGGAGGAGAATGCAGGGCATGTCTCCCTTATAACATGTGTTCCCTTAGAGATGTTCAGCTCACCTACTTCCAGGCTCTGACCTCTCTCTCACCTCACCTCTGATGCTTGTAATCATCGAACTATGTGCTGGCACAGTGGTGTCTTTTATACGAATCCCACCTTTAAAACTGTGACATTGCTCATGAGAAATACCCTGGTTTTAATTTTTCTTTATTGTATGTATATTTTTTCTTTTGTTAATTATCATTTCTTTTCTGTCATTGCCTTTTTAAGATTCACACATTCCTGCCTGGCTCTTGTTGCCTTATCTGGGCATTACAGAAGCCTGGCTTGGTGGACGAAGAACAGACTGGTATTCTCTACATGCGCAGTAGCATACTAGTATACATACATAGACACATCTTTCCCTTCAATTTAAAAGCAAAATGAGCTGGGTGTGGTGGAATACACCTTTGATCCTAGCACTGGGGAGGCAGAGGTGGACTGCTGAGTTCAAAGCCAGCCTGGTCTACCTAGAGAGTTCCAGGCCAGCTGGGGCTACAGGGAGTCCCTGTCTCAAAAAGACAAAAAAAAAAAAAAAAAAAAAAAAAAAAAACGTAAAATGAATATGAGACCCATTCAGGGAGAATCTACTGTGTAGCACGCTATCCTATGCTATTTCTTTCTTTTCCTTTTCCTTTTTTTTTAAGACAGGGTATTGCTATGTGGCCCTGACTGGCCTGGGTCTTACTGGATAGACTAAGATGGCCTCGAACTCAAAAAGATACATTTGCCTCTACCTCTTGAGTTCTGGAATTAAAGGTATGTGCCACTCCTTCCAATACCTTTTGCAGTAGGGGCTCTTGCTATGTGGTTCAGGTTTGCCTGTACGTTGTGGTCCCCTGCTTTGGTCTCCCTAGTCTCAAAGGCATGTGTCATCATAATGGCTCCATAACACTTGAATGGAGTAACTGTTAGCCTCATTTTATGCACAAGAAAACTGAAAACTGACCATGGGAGCAATTTCTCAAGGTCATCCTATGAAACAAATCAATTTGCTGGAATGTGGACTCAGGACTATGCACTGGTAAATTTAAAAGTAGATCTACTAACCTCAAAGCAAGTGCTCTCTATTCACTATACAGTCTATCCTGAAACTTCATATGGAACTATACTATAACTTTGATTCCAGTCAACCTACCATTCTACCACTCATGAAGAATATACATATAACTC